GAGATTTTAGAAATTTCACAGATTGAAATCATGAGTCAGTTGAAGCTAGACCACCATTGAAAACCTGGAAGCACTGGAAGGCCGTTTCGTCCTGATATGGGACTCCTCAGCAGTGCGCATCCACGACCCCGCACCACACGGGGCTCGGACCCAGGACCTACAGGCTTCGCGCGCGAGCACTTAACCATTAGACCACTGAGCCGGCATCCAACGGTGTTAATGTCTAACTTCAACCAATCCACGAAGTTGCGCCACCGTACACCATTGTCTTCAGTTGACTCATGATTTCAATCTGTGAAATTTCTAAAATCTCCACAAAACCCATTCTGATAATAATAATCAACTGCTCACTAGTGACTGACTTCAAGGAAAACTCCCGAAGTTCTAGTGAGAAGCCGTTACCAGTGGAGTTCAACCAGATCTGTTGTGAGATAGGAACTCACTGAAGACAATGGTGTACGGTGGCGCAACCTAGATGACAGTTCACTCTAATTCAAGCGTCCGAATTAAGAGAACCTGGGTTTGAAACCACAATCAATGGGTAGCATTTAATAAATGGGGAATGCCAACTTGAACCAATGCACATACGTCCAGGTTCCACGTTGTGACGGAAGTCACGAGGCCGATGACCCTTCTAAAAACCAGAGCTAAGATTTTTCTAGGCACATGGAAAGTTCGGAAAAGGTGGGAAACCGGGAGGACCAGTCATATGGTAACGGAAATAAGGAGATACAAATTGCAAGCATTCGGAATCAACGAAACCTATTGGGCACAAGCTGGATAGCAAAGGCTAGATATGGGAGTAATGCTACTGTACTGCGGTCACGAAGAGGAAAATGCTCTGATGCTGTCCAAAGAAGCACAAAACGCACTTACTGAATGGGAATCTCACGGATCCAGAATCATCAAACCATCCTACAAAAGAAAGAAGACGGACATCACAATGAATGTTATCCAATGTTGTGCACCCACCAATGATAGCAACGACGACAACAAAGATCAGTTTTACGAGAGGCTGCAATCAATCATAGCGAAGTGCCCAAGAAAGGACCTCACCATTCTAACGGGAGATCTAAACGCCAAACTCGGAATGGACAACACCGGGTATGAAGATATCATGGAACGACATGGACTGGGAGAAAGAAACGAAAATGGGGAGAGATTTGCGAATTGATGTGCACTCAACAAATTGGTTACAGGCGACACAATATTCTCACGTCAACGTATACACAAAGCCACATGGGTCTAACCGGACCACACCACGGTGAACCAGAAAGGTCATATTTGCATCAGTAAAAATTCGCAAGGACAATGCAAGATGTGAGAATCAGGAAAGGAGCTGACATAGTTTCAGATCACCAACTGGTGGTGGCCAAGAGTAGACTGAAGCTAAAGAAGCACTGTATAACTGGTGGAACAGCATTACAAAGGTTCAATACAGCCCTCCTTCGAGATACTGACAAACTCAACACATTCGAGTTAGCTCTCAACAACAGATTCCAAGCCTTACAGGATCTACTGAAGGAAGAAAGTACTATGGAGGACAAGTAGAAAATTATCAAAGAAGCATTAACTTCAACATGTCAGGAGGTTTTAGGCCGCAAGAATCGTCATCATAAAGAATGAATCTCAATCGAAACCCTGGACAAGATTGAAGAAAGGAAGAACAAGCAAGAACAGCAATTAACAACAGACGAACACGAGCAGAGAAAGTTAAAGCACAAGCTAAGTACACAGAAGCAAACAAGTAAGTGAAGAAGAGTATTAGAGCCGACAAGCAGAAATACGTGGAAGACCTAGCAGCGACAGCAGGAAAAGCTTCAACAGAAGGAAAAATGAGACGACTGTATGACACAGCGAAGAAACTGGTAGGGAAAATTAATAAACTAGAGAAACCGATCAAGGACAAACAAGGCGAGAAAATCACCGAGAATCGAGAACAGAGGACCAGACGGGTAGAATACATCGAAGAACTATTGAATAGACCAGCTCCATTGAATCCACCGGACATCGAAGCAACACACACAGACTTTCCTATAGATGTCACTCCATCAACGATCGAATAAATCAGGATGGCCGTCAGACAAACCGAGATTGGGAAAGAAGCGGGACCTGACAATATACCAGCTGAAGCACTGAAGTCAGACATCGAAGTAACTACAAGCATGCGTCACCTTCTACTCAAGAAGATTTGGGAGGAAGAACAAGTGCCGATGGACTGGAAAGAAGGACACCTCATCAAGATTCCAAAGAAAAACGGTCCGAGCAAATGTGAAAACTACAGAGGCATCACACTACTGTCAGTACCAGGAAATGTTTTCAACAGAGTGTTGATGAACTGGATGAAAGACTCACTAGACGCACAATTTCGAGATCAACAGTCTGGATTCCGTAAGGATCGGTGGTGCACAGACCAAATTGCGACACTACGGATCATCGTTGAACAATCAGTTGACTATGAGAAAGCATTCTACAGTATGTATAGGAGGACTTCATGGAAACTTTTTCGACACTATGGTGTATTTGAGAAAATCTTCAATATCATCAGGTATTCATACTACGGACTGACTACACTGCAAATACAACACAGAGAACACCAATCCAATCACACTTGATGGAGAAAATATGGAAGAGGTGGAAACTCTCACGTACCTGAACAGCATCATCGATGAACAAGGAGAATCAGATACAGATGTGAAGACGAGGATTGGCAAGGCAAGGACAGCATTCCTACAGCTGAGCAATATATGGAACTCAAAACAACTGTCAACCAATATCAAAGTCAGAATTTCCAATACGAATGTCATGACACTCCTGCTGTACGGAGCTGAAAATCGTAGAACTACTACAACCATCATCAAGAAGGTACAAGTATTTATAAATAGCTGTCTACGCAATATACTCAACAGTCATTGGCCGGATACCATCAGCACCAACCTACTGTGAGAGGGGACAAACCAGTTTCCAACTGAAGAGGAAATTACGGAGAGTCGTTGGAAGTGGATAGAACATGCATTGAGGAAATCACTCAAGTCCTAACTTGGAATCTTAAAGGGAAGCGGAAAAGAGGAAGGCCGAAGAACACACTACGTCGGGAAATGGAGGCAGATATGAAAAGTATAAATAGCAACTGGTGAGCGACCTATGCTCGTCCACGATTGGTAACCGGCGTAGGTAAGTCAGTACGTAGGCTTACTGGTTTATTAATGGTAATAATCGTTATTTTGACAAGTTAAGTGACATTATATTCATCACAATTATAGCCATTTTTCATTGTTTTTCTTGAGGTAAAGAGTCTGTTGCAAATATGACTGTGTTATCAACTCAAAAACCTCTGAAACAGCACAAGACCTCAAGACAGGTAGTTAGATCCAAGGTAGAAAGCTCTTAAAGTAAACACAAAAGCTGTGTGAATGTATGTCTCAGTGTGTATGAGACTTTAAGAATCAAAAAACCTTAACGGTTCAAAAATTCAACTAAACGGCGATTGGGTATAGTTTATTACTACGAACATATAACCACATCAATAAACTCGCAAAATGAATCGGAAATCTGAACAATAAAGGTAAATAAGATTTCTTCCGGGTACGTGAATAAAACAACAGGACTTTCAGAATCATACGGAAGGAAAAACTCTATTTGATATTCTACAAACATAACAGATCTTGAATGATGACGAATCACACCGTACAAACCAAATGACTGAAATAAGCAAACGATCGGGATATCCTACAAATTTGGCAGAAGTAGTAATGTTTAGAAGAAGACTAGGGATGATCAAACCAAGACACAGTACCAATCCATGAAGTCATTAGGCTGAGTCGTACTGGCAAGTGGAGACTAACTGGGTTGGGTCTTTGGGATGACCTCGATCAGCAATTGAAAGAGTTGGGTGATATGCCTCAGGATTGATCACTGTGGCGAGACTAAATATTATTTCATACTTCCTGTTTATCGAATTCATCCGCTTTCGAGACGTACTCTTCGATTTTAAGTCTCTCTAAACATAAAATGGTGCATAGGATTGATCTGCGCCAGCAGCTGAACTGAAAACAGGGAGTTGAGTACGTCTATCACTTCAATTATCTCGGAAGTCTCATCACCCTCCACAGGTTGATGCTTGACGAAAGCTCTGCATGAATTTAGAAAGCCCAGTTGGTGTTTTCCAACTTACATCACTTGTGACGTGAGTGATTTATCCGTTTGCAAAATAAAAAAACGACTATACTGTGCATCGGTTAGTTCCGTACCACTTTATGTCTGTGAAAGGTGGTCTTTAAAAATAGAAGATATACGTAGGTCACTAGTATTCGACCATAAGTGTCCTCGGATCACTGCTCGTATACTTTTTTGGATCAACGAGTTACTTATTGTGAGGTTAAACGCAGAGCACTAGTTGAGGATGGTAAATCAATTGTCGAGATAGTAAATCTTTATCGACTGAGGTGATTAGGACACGTATTAAGTATATCCACCCACCAACTACCTAGATGAGCTATGATGGCTGGTTTAGAAATAGGTTGGGAGCAAGCTAGGAGCGGCTAAACTAAGGCATGGAATCAGTTTGTAAAGACGCTGGCTGTTAGAATGAGTCACAACTAGAAAACGATTTACAGAGACAACCTATTTTTATTTATTAACAGACATTATTAATCAAATTAGTCGGACTAAGGGATACTGACTGCACACCACAGATCTACAAAATACTTAGAGCAGAGTAGAAGCTATAGAGTCCAACATATACTGAAGAGAAACCATTTTTGTTTATTGAGATAGTAGGTGGTTAATGTTTGATAACAAATATCACTCTGCAATCGCAGCACCCGAATCCATTTATTGACTGAATATAACGAAAAGAAGAGTAACCACTAGATTTCGAGGTTAGTTTACCGAATTCAAAAGTACTTACATTCAGAAGTTTATTACCACGATATTTCATCACATCAGCAACAATAAACTTTTCACTTTCAGACATTTGCCAAAACTCTGCAAGCTACGGATGTTTGAGTGAATATCATTTTATCGACCTACCTTTTTGACATCTTGGAGATATATGTTAAACAATATTTTGTGGAAACATGCATCATCGATTTTCAAAAATGTCTTCTCCAAATCTGTGAAGGTGTAGTCAGATGTAAGAGTCACTTCACACTGTTCCCCACAGCCCATTTCTTGGACTATATTATCCACAACCTTCATAACTCCAAAATCCTCTGCATGCCCCACATCAAAAGTAATATTCTGGTTCTGGAGAATCACTTTGGCATCAACAACAAGTGAGACGTCGACAATGACCCGATCGTGTTCACATGGTTTATGGGTTCCAGCACGTAGAATTACTTTAATTTTCTCCTCTGATAGCTAAATAAACAGATAATTATCTTACAATAGAAACGTTTGTTGCTGAACTCTACATGCAAATCAATTCAGTGTTATCGAATATTTTCGACAACAGTAAATGCCAAAATCTGATAGGTCGTGAATCCAAATCTTATTTAATTTCAAACGTACTAATCTATTGTCACATTACTTTCATCTTTCAGATGGTATATTTAATACAAAACCAAGTGATTGATACTTAGATATGAATGGTAATCAGTTGTCTGGATTTGGTAGCTACTTTCTATATCTACGAAACAAAAAAGAGCTGACTGCTGAACAGTATGTAAGACATTTGAAATCAAAACTAAAAGGAACCCCTGCTTTATGACCAGCAGATATCGCCCTATTAGGACTATAGAGCTTAGTGTAGACAGTTAGTTCTTGTGAAGCGTATTCTTGTTTAATAATCTTGGATGGAAAATATTCACCCACTAATGTACTACAACAGAAACTTGTGCGTCTATCAGCTGCAGATTAACTTCTCGGTGGTTTTATTTATTTGAACACATAAATATTGGTACAAAGGAGCACCGAATACATATGCGCCACACAAGTAAGCCACTTGATTTGTATGTGGGCTGTGATACTGCCTGTGTGCCAGATCGAAGAAGGTGGTTATCTTAAAAGACCACACCCGGAGCCTTTAACCTAAAGGTCTGATCCACAAGGCAGTGGAGCAACGTAAGGAGATGCAGTCCCATGGTAGCCGCTGACCAATAATTGGTTCATACGCCATTTGTCCTCTCAGGATACTGCAGCCCATGTGCACTATCGGTTTGGAATCAGAGATTTCCAACTCCCCTAGGTAGATCCTCTATATCCACCAACCCAGTTAAAGCGCCGGATATCCACTTTTCGTCCTCTCAATTTCGTGAAAAAGCACCCCCGCCGCGAGAAGGTAGTGGGTAGAACTTCTCTTTCAGTGGCTGTATACACGTGGCCATGTGAGAGCATTTCGAGAGGGAGAGCTGACTCTTCCCACCCTCGGCCGTACCAGGGTATATGGGGGCTCGGTGGTGTAAACATCACTGTTACTCGGAATGCTATAACTATCAATGTAAGGTGGTGGTTGGGAGTCAAAGACATTACTACTGAGCTGTTAGAACCGCGACTGATCTCCTGCAGAACTGAGGTGTATTTACAACTGACTGGATAGTGACCAACGTCATGTATGTCAGATCCTTAGTAAAGATCAAGTTATATCGATTAAGTAGCAATGTGCCCACTAGTCTAGGTGACTCGATATCGTGTGCACTATGTTGAGATGTAAGGTGGCGGTTGGATATAGTCGATAGGGTACCCTCGACCTAGGCTCTGTGCAATCGGACGCTCCTCAGCAAGATATACCTGTAATCTTGTACGAAATGACGATCTCCGGCTTATACGATGACGATGCCTAACATCAAACAAATATGATTAATTTCAACATAATATAAATCAAACAGTTGTTCCACTTTATAGGCATGCACTAAAATAATTTTTAAAATTAATAACATATTTAAACACAGACCCAAGCTCCCAACATCGAGACATAACGGACAAAATTTCGGGTTAATACTGGGATAGCCCCATTGAAAAGACAGGCGTATTATCAGTTGCAATGTTTATTAGAACAAAATGAATTTTTACAGTAAAGAGACCTTTATGTATATTTACAAATATCAGTTTGGAGACGAGAATAGTGAATAATAAGATTTTTCCGTCGAATTAATATTAATTGGACTCAGTTATGTCTAAAGTATTCTGAAACAAAAATAGAAAATCAAGACGTGAATCAATGATAGCAAGGGATTGTACACGAAGAAAATAAAACCACAGTATGTACTGTGAGTGAATAAGATGACACTGATTCCCAAGTGACAACTACCTTCATACCTGTAACAGCACTAGAGATCCTCTTGTCCACTATCAAGTCTCTTCGTCGGATGAAATTTTTTCAACTCAACCACCAACCCTTCACATATGACTTTATCCCGTGCACTAACTATGCTAACTATCTGAGCCCATAAAATGTTACTCCTGGTCTCTTGACAACAGTCAACTTTCGGACCGTATGTCAAACAAGCCAAAAGACTTACGTAGCTAGTATAGGATTGTAGTATCCAGCACCGTCAATGTGTGCCGTATATCAAGGTGTGGTCACCCACTTGACCTCGGACAGTCAATACGGAGAAACGGGACGATTTGCCCTCCATGTATCTGGGGACTTCGACTACCATCCCTCGTGACCTCATTGGTATAGGTATGGCACGAAGTTCAAAAGCGGAACAGGCTCTCATAGACTGGATTTCATCAGACAATCGCTTGTACACTGTCCGAATCATCGATGTGCATGTCAAATTTAAGAATCAAACAAATACATAATTGTATTGCTAAAAACTCATTGAATTCATTTAAAAATAGCGATGCATGTGAAATAAACAGGTTGAATAAAGAGAAGGTTGAAATTACTTGTCAAAAGGAAATCTGCTAGTTGAATACCATCCTTTCGGTTCAGGCTGTTCTTCTTCATTAGTCAGTCATTCAGTCAGCTACAACGTAGGACCAGGCACATATGTGCATCGGTCCAGGTCGCCATACCTCATTAGCACAGCAAGATGAACACCGGATTCATAGGAGTGGTTAGGTCAAAGGTGGTAATATATAGGAGAAAGATTACATATAAGGATATAGGAAGAAAGAATTAGTTAGTAGAAGGAAAGATATGAAGCAATTTTAATCTCTTCGTTTAAGGAAAGACAGAGAGTGTATACACTTACGCCATTGTGATCGATTCCAAGCCATGTCACCCAGAGTCTCAAACCATTGGTTACGATAGTCACGCGGACCCCAACCAAGTAGTCTGA